TTCCGTAAAAATGGTAATCCTACCGAAAATCCAGTATATGTTCCGCACGCTCCCACTTAAGCTTCCCAACAAGTACTTAAAGGACCTGCAAGATTCAATAAATGATTATGTATGGGACTACAAAAAACCAAGAGTAGCCCTAAACACGATGGTCGCCACACGAGCCCAAGGAGGGATGGGTCTACCAGATGTGAAAGGATACTATAGAGCTGCGCAAATTGCTCCACTTATTGCAGCTTCCCACCGCTCGACTCCCATGACATGGGTCGAATTGGAGAAACATAGAGCCGAAGGCATCTCACTCCCCGCCGTGGCATGGATGCCGCCGAAACACAGACCCAAAGCGCCAGAAATGCTGCCGACAACCACACTTACTCTCTCTGTGTGGGACGACTACCGCAAAAATAAGGGGAATATGTCACCCATCTCACCGGCAACCCCAATAGAATCGATCCAGCACCTTATCCCAAATTTCAACCACAAACTTTGGCACAGACATGGCATCCTCACGCTGTCGCAGGTGTTGCAGGGTACCAAACTCAAGCAATTCAAGGATATATGTGAAGAATTCCGAATACCAACGACAGCGACCTTCTCCTATAACCAGCTACAATCATGGATAAACCTACATAACTCGCAACAAACAGTGCGCCCACCTGATCCACACTGGCTTAAACTGACAGAGATATGCACCAAGACGAAACCGGCAACAAAAATTATCTCAACAATTTACACATCTGAAAAGACAGACACCCACGACAAAATACCCTCCTATAGGAAAGCATGGGAAAAAGACATAGGGCATGAACTCACGGATGAACAATGGCAATATATATTCCGCGCCAATAACAAGCTATCCCTCTGCACATCACACACAGAACTCTCCCGCAAATTGATGTACCGGTGGTATCTTGTACCAACGAGACTTAAACACAGCTACCCGAATGTGTCAGACACGTGCTGGCGCTGCCAGCAAGACCGAGGTACCCTGCTGCACATATGGTGGCAATGCCCACTACTGAAACAGTTTTGGTCACAAGTCCTAAATCTAACGACCCGCTGCACCCAACTGCAAATTACTTTGATACCTGAACTATTTCTACTATTACTACTCCCCCAAACACCTCACATTCACACCAGGTACTTGCTATACCACATCTGCATAGCAGCTCTCACCGTCATAAGCAGGAAATGGAAACAACCCACTGCCCCCACGATCAGCCAGTGCATTACAGCTATAGAAACTTCCAAATCTTACGAAATGGCAGCGAGAAAATCAGCACAAAACAAATCTTACTGGACTGAGGCTTGGGACATATGGGACAGAAACAAACCACGCTGAAATGCATAACAAAGCACTACCAGAATCGAGAGACACAACTCCCTCCTCTGGAGGTACTGAAGAAGCCACTCCAACCCATGTCCACGCACCCATTCCTTAACCACAACATGATCCATGCACACCACACATCAACTCCAAACATTCACTCTTCACCCTACCCCCCGCATTCCCCCTCCCCCCCCTCCCTTAGCCAAAGACTACCAACCATGCCAACAATACAGATCGACACCCCCAAACCACATTGAACACGATACAAGCGAAAGAGACCCATGACCGCACGTTAAGGCTCAGAGGCTATGTTACTATACATGTTCATATTTGTATTTTGTACATTGTACTGTCTAACACCCTCACGGTGTCCGGGATGATCACATACTGTAACTGTGATAACATGTGTTATGCCTTTGGTACCCCACCTAATCCCCTTCACTTCTGTACCCTTCCCATGACCCCTTATTGCAAAATAAAAATTGTCAAATTCAAAAACACATATTAAATCACAATGAACCCCCACATGTTCTATATCCCCAAAAAGGTCTGCTGCAAGCACCCATTCTGCGAAAATAGCGCTCTTACTCATGGGGTATTGTCCAAATGCCTCTGTGTCAAAATTGTGACCGACCTCTGTAACAGGTCTGGCCTGCAGGAGTTCCATGCGGATGGGGTCATTCTTCTGTGATTTACTGGGTGCTATATCTCCTCATTGCAAGGGAGTTCCCTGGTGCTTATAGGGAGCTATTATTAGTCCCAAGGGATAGCAGCTTCCTTCCAAAAAGCGCCTTCGTAGGTTGTTTGGAAAGAAGGAAAAGTCAAGGTACAAGATGACTGGGACAATGGGCTGAGAGTGGCCGAGCTGGAGTTCCATGGTGAACATAGATTACTCTCATTGATAGCACCTGGACACTCTGGGTAGTGTACAAGGGTTAGTGGGTGATAAAGTATAGAGGTGAGTGGAAATGCACAGAGGATTTGTGACGGAGCCCAAACCGCTTCCTAGCCATTGGGGAGGGAGTCCGGAACGCTTCAACAGCAGTCGCCGAGGCTTGACTGGAGTCTCTCTGGAGCTTTTCCACCCGATCAGGGTGCAGCCCTTCTTCCAGATATCCACCTTTGCCTGCAGTGCAATTTCTATTAGATTTACAAAGACACTTGCTGTTCTTAACGTATCCCAGGGCAAGAGGAATCTTGCAGTCATCCAACAGGTATGACAACTCTGTGGTTGGAATCCCTAAAAATCCATACAGGACATAGCTCCAAAAGGAACTTACAAACAATACTTTGTTTTACTTGGGACTAGCCCATATGTTCGTTACATCAGACTTGCTGTGACAAACGTAATAAAATACAATTAACCAAATCATATCAAAAAACATACAGGAACTTATAATAACATAACAACATAATTACTAGAAAAGCTACAATTTCTGGGGAAATTGTGTGAAGTGTTCTTGCCTCCACCAGTAGTCTACAACTGGAGTGGGCAGAGTAACTGTTATTATTTATTTATATAGCACATTTAATTGCAACGTTGTTGCCCAAAGTGCTTTACAGTTACATTAAAACATACATTTATAAAAACATTAGCAGGTGTACAAAAGGCCCTGTTTATGACATCACTTGCTGCTCCAGCCTGGCACAGGTCAGAGTATTTTGGGTTGCCATCTTCAAACGGTCGTTTTTTCCAAACTATACATCCTACAGCGAAGAGCTTTATATTGTGAGAATCACAGGACCAAGACCTACATTTTGATACATATTATGTCTCTGACGTATTACAAATGAAGGCATAGTCGCAGTTTAGAAATTGCCCTTCAACTTTTAGCTGGCTAGAGTGAAGTTTCAATGAATGTCAATGGACAGCGTGAGTTGCAAACAAATGGTGATATTGTGAAAATGATCAGGACTATGGCTTAGCCGTGGACATTTTTAGTGGCAGCAGGGATAGCTGAACGTTTTGATATAAGATTTGTGTAGGTGGGCCTGAAAATGAGGGAGTGGTGGCAGTTTAGAAATCATGTCCTGATTTTTCAGCTTTTGCCAGCTCCCACTCTAGCTTTGCCATTCATTCCTATGGGACATATTCCGCCACAAGAACGACGATATTCCGTGCAAGAACACTTAACACTTAATTAGTAAACAAGCAATTAAAATTAATGCACTATATAATACCAATAACATGTTCAAACACAATAAAAAGTAATTATATAAACATTAAACTACTTATTTTGCTGCCCTCATTTGCATACACGTCTTATGCAAATGTACACACTTCTAGTCAGTCAGCAGAGTGCGCAGCAGAGTTATCAAAGTAACAATGTATAGTTTGTAAATTGATTGCTGCTGTCACACACCTCTTTCAGGGATTCCTAGGACCAGATCCATAGTCTGTGAGTAAGAGGCTGGCGTTTAAGCCTCTCCAAAAGGTCATGGCATGGGAGCTTTGTCACATATCTCCCTCTTCCAATTGAGACTAACCAGGGAGGAAACTCTGAACGGGTTTACTCCCAAATTAGTAATTTTGTTAATCCCAAGGCCAAAGCAATGTTCAGGATAGAATAGCTTTGTCAAAGTGTCACTTAGCCAGCCAAACTTGTCATCACCAGTAGTATGTAACTGCTGCTGATGAAAAATATCAACTACAAATTCTCTCTTAAGTCCTATCAGCCACTGGAGAGAATACAGAGTGGCCGGTGTCTCTAAAACAATGGGTTGGGGATTTGGGCCAACTGCCCAGCCTTCTGGTATTACAATGGTTAAGCTTGTAGTTCCCTTCATAAGCACAGGACAAATGGCTTTTTTCTATAGTAGTTATAGTACAGCACTTCAGGAATTATTTATATATATTAAAAAAAACACACAGTTTCAAATATATAAAAAACATACATAGTTTTATTTATTTATTTATTTATCTTTCTTTCTTTTCTTTATTATTTATCTATTGAGCTAGGACTAGCCCATATGCTCATAACATTTAGATTGCTGTGGCACTTGAATAAAATGCAAATACAAAGAACATTAGTATACAAGCAAATGAAATTAATACATGCACTATATAATACCAATAACATTTTCAAACACAATACAAAGCAATTATAAATATATATTTTCCTACTTATTTGGTTGTCTTTATTTGCATTCAAGTCTTATGCAAATTCACACACATCTAGTTAGTTGGCAGAGGGTGCTGCAGAGTTATCCAGTAACAATGAATAGTTTGTCCATTGATTGCTACTGTCAAACACCTTTTTCAGGGAGTCCTGGGACCTGGTCCATAGTCTGTGGGAAGAGGCTGGCCTTCAAGCCTCTTCAAAAGGCCATGGCGTGGGAGCTTCTGTCCCATTCCCTAATATTGTAATGTTGCTTTTTTGTTTTTTCTGATTATTGCTTTCTCCATATTTCTGTAAGGGGTCAAATGTGGAAGTTACCAAGGTAATTTTGCTCCATAAGCAGAATCCGTGCTTTTTTATTTTATAGTAATTTTCCCTTTATGTATGAGCTAATCAGGTGTAAATGGGATAGTAAATAAAAAAAGAATACTGCATAAAAAATATAAATAATGAACAATAATGTAATATAATCAGTTAAAACAGTCACCGGATGTGCTCAAAACAAGAGATAAAAGAGGAACTTAACTTGTTGCCCTCAGTTTGTCACAAGATGACAAGAAAATTGTGTCATCAGAAAGATCATTGCTTGTGTATTCAGCTGTGGGTTTGATTCCTCAGATATTGAAAGATAGACGTGTTCATCTTGCCTTGTGCTGCCTGAAAAATAAAAGGTCAGTGGTAGGAGTTACATTGAGATTGCTCTCTCTCTCTCACACTCTCTCTCTCTCTCTCTCACTCTCTCTCTCTCTCTCTCTCTCTCTCTCACACTCTCTCTCTCTCTCTCTCACACACACTCACTCTCTCTCACTCTCACTCACTCTCACTCACTCTCTCTCACTCACTCACTCTCTCTCTCTCACACTCTCTCTCTCTCTCACACACACTCACTCTCTCTCACTCTCACTCACTCACTCACTCTCACTCACTCATTCTCTCTCTCTCACACTCTCTCTCTCTCTCTCACTCACTCACTCTCTCTCTCACTCACTCTCACACTCTCTCTCACACACTCTCTCATTCTCTCTCTCACTCTCTCTCTCTCTCACGCTCTCTCTCACTCTCGTCTTTGGTAGGTAATTTACGCTCATGCAATATGTGCTGTTCAGCTTTCTGTATGATCCATGTTTGCCATGTTATATTATTTAATGCAGACGTTAATATGGGATTCAAAATTAGATTTACAAACAGTGTATGAGGAGAAAATATATGAATAATAAAAGATCTGTATTTAAATTACTTCTAAACCATATTTCCCTTTGCTAAAAACCAGTATTATCATAAATACAACAGAAGTATTCTTATTAGCCTATGTGTACGAAGGTTTCATAGGTGTAACTAATGCAGCAATAAAACATTAAGATTTTATCACAATCCGAAGGCACCAATGTGAGGTAACTATTCACTGCATGCTGAAATTTACTTTTGCTACGCTCTATTGAAATGAAACTTTACTGAGTCTTCCTAAGTTCCTCCTAAGTTTTCATATGATTCTTAGGTAATTATTTGTTAAAGGTAAACTATAAGCTAGGAATACAAAATTGTATTGTAAAAGCCTTCTTCACAATTGCATTAGGACAACCAATTTAATCAATGCTTTCCTATGGGTTTTTGACTGACGCTGGATGTCATGATGCAGAGCGTGATGATGTCCAGCAACAGTTAGAAGACCAATAGTCACCTAATGACCCAGAAGTGCACTAGAAGTGGAGTTAAACCTGCAATGTAAATATTGAGTTCTACCAATAACTGAAACAATTACAATTGCATGGTTAAACTGACAGGGGCACTCCACACAGGCCACTTCAATAAGCTGAAGTAGTCTGGGTGGTACAAGTGCATATTTGTGCAACAGGCGCTTAAAAGGTGCAAAAAAAATTAATTCAAACCAGCTGCTACCATCTATGTGTAAATACTTTCACACAAAATTACTAAACCTATAGAAATGCCATTGTGTGGTGTATACACCCACCCCAGTTATGGTGGAGCACTATTGGCTAAAAACACTTATCCCAAATATTAAAAGGTAGCACATCCTACAAAATACAAACACATATATTGTGCAATATTGCCAATATTAAAGTGATAATTGGTGCTTTATTATGGACACACTCACATTTGATAGAGCCTAATCAGGACAGGCTCTAATCACACGGGGTGATGTGTACTATGGTGCCACTGTCCCTCTTCCTCTGTATGTTGTCAAGCTTGTAGAGTAAAAAAAAAGGGAAGAGAACTCCTTGTGCAGTATATTTACCAAATTTGGTGAGTTAAATGTAATATTGTAAACTGTTCGCCTTATTTAGAGCCTATGAAACATGGACCTAAGTTTGAAGACCCTTGTGCCAATAGAGGGGACACAAACCCCTCTTGGGCAGCAGGGAGGGTGCATGTGCCGGTTGGTACCTATTATAATCTGAAAATTAGCCAAATTTTCCCCTACATATTTGTCAGCCGGCACATGATCCCTCCATGTTGTAAGCCCGAAACTCACGTAGTAAAGAGCTAGCCTTATAAATAATTAAGTAAATCCCCCTATGCCCCACCATATGAAGTGGCAGAATAGGGGAGCCCAGTAGGAGATAACCAAAAGAAAATTAAAACAAGTAAGTCAGAGGCTAAAGTTATTAGAAGTTGTCAAACGTTCAAGCGAAGTCTAAGATCCTCCTGGCTTAAGAGACACACTAATTTGCACCTAATTTGATTTATATTTATAGCTTTGTTGGCTCTCTGGATGCTCAATAGACCTCCAAGAACTGTATATAAAAACTTGATTCGTCTTGCAGAACTTTGACTACTAGACAGCAATTTTTCACTTAATGGTTTAGTGACATCTACTGGCTCATTGGGAACATTGTTATCCACACAGCATGTATATCTTCACAAATTTTCAAACCATTATATGTAGTATTTACCAATTTGTTTTATATTTTATTATTTTTCATTTGAGTATCATTATTACTACTAGCATTATTAACCTTGATTGTGCACTATTGTCTCCCATCTCCGGCCTCCACCCATTAACAGTAGGTCGGGGCCCTAAGTGACAAAAGGGGGGACCTATTGTCCGCCCACCCATTGGAGACGGGTGGGGACTAATTGTAAAAATAAAGCCCTCCCAAGATAAGGGGTCCCCAAACCTCTAGTCACCCAACCCACTGACTAGAGGTCCCCAAGAGGTCCCCAAGAGGTCCCCAGAAATCATACTTACCATTAGATGTCTGCAAGGCTCAAGATTTACCTGTCAGAGCACTCACATTGCAAGGTGTGGGAAGGCTTTATAAGGGGTCCCCAAACCTCTAGTCACCAAACCCAGTGACTAGAGGTCCCCAAGAGGACCCCAGAAATCATACTTACCATTAGATGTCTGCAAGGCTCAAGATTTACCTGTCAGAGCACTCAAATTGCAAGGTGTGGGAAGGCTTTATAAGTCTTTCCACACCCTGCGGAGCTCAGTCTGCATGAAGCCTGGGTTGTTTTTTTATCGTTGAGATTTTTTTTCCACTGTATTGGTTATTTTTTTGTGATCAGGTCTTTTTTTATTTTATTAGTTTGTTGAGATTTATACATTTTTATTTAGCCTTTTTTTGGACTGAAAAAAAGAAGATTTTAGAAAAAAGAAGACATCTAATGGTAAGTGTGGCGGATAAGTGTTGTATCACCGCCAAGGATTCCCTTTCCTGTAGTGTTATAACTCCTTCCAGACACAGTAGGGAATATAGCTCATATAGCTTCCCCCCCATACATTAGTCCAAACTTAATGTTGGGAGTAGATCTGGTTTATTCAGGCAAGCCACACAGAATTTAATAAAATAAAACAACACAATCCCCTCCCAGGCATCTCTGTGTCTGGGAGATAATTTAGTCAAAGAACTAAATCAATTATCTCTCAGTTACAGGGAACCATACAGAAATAATACAAAAACACCCCAAAACCACATTCAAATTACACACGAACCCCACATGTCTTATATCCCCAAATAGACTGAAATCAAGCCCCATGTTGTCCAAACAGCGCTCAGATCAGGGGGTGGTCTGAGTTCGCGGGTATAAAAAAGGGGGAAACAAGTCTCCGTTCGGGAAATGAACAAGGGGGTACGGAAGACCAAACTGAAAAAGGACCAAGGCTGGAGGAGAATAAAACAAGTGATGGGGTGTTTTGTCACACTGCTCCTGTGACGGACCACCTGGTGCCCCGACTGGGTACCTCCGTCAAGCTAACTTCCTAGCTCTCCTCTGGGACCCAGGAGTGCTTCAGCCCCAAGCCACTGCAGCTTGGCTGGGGTCTCTCCATCACTTCCTGCCCTGGAACAGGGTCCTAGGTACAGCTTCAAATGATTAAGCTCTCCTGCAGAGAGTATAGCTGATCCACCCAAACAGTAGCCCAGACACAGTGAAGGGTGTAAAGAAACTAGCTTTTATAGACAGCTCCCAGCATGGGGTCTCTATTCAATGCAAGAAAAGCCCCTCCCATAAATCTATGTGCCTGGGAGATAATTGCATAAAAGACCAGTAGCCTAATTATCTCCCAGGAACAGAGAGGCAAAAAAACATAAAAATACCCCAAAACATCATAAACATATGGGTTTGGTTCATGTGAACGGCCACCAGAGAGCCAGCGTTCGGTTCCATTCGCATGAAGGGAAAGTGCCGAACCAGGGCAAGCTACTAATGGCGGCTGGAGAGGTTTAACTCCAGAACAGGGTCTTTGTATATGGCCCATAGTCCTTCGGCAGGAGGCTAGCTAGCAGGCTCCTTCAGGAGCTCATGGCATAGGTACATTTTCCACAGCTCCCCCCTTGGATATTGCTCCGGCAACTTGGAGATTGTAGTTGAGCTCCCTGTACCCCAGCTGGGTACCTCCGGCAAGGTCCGCTTCCTAGCTGGAACAGGGGAAAACCTCAGTGCTTCTGCCCCTCCTAGGAATCTCTGGGCCTGGGAGATAATTGCGTTAAAGACCGGTAAACTAATTATCTCCCAGGAACAGAGAGCCAAACACAAAAATATAAAAACATAAAAGTACCCAAAAACATAATAAAAATATAAAATAACCCTACAAATAATACATCTTTAAATAGCCCTGATCTGAGAGCCCAAGTTCTCTAAATAGCGCTCAGTGTAGGGGAAAGGCCACTGTGTTAAAGTTATGACCGGCCGCACACGTGGTCGTATGCCCAAAATAGTTCCAGGGCGTTTGGTGCTTTTGCCTGTCAACTTTCAGGAGCTCCTGCGGCTGCAATATGGGGTGCCGCGCCTGGCTTTCAGGAAGCATTTGTTCCCTTTAGTCTTAGGCACCTTTCCTCCAGAAAAGCACTCACCTGGCAGATTTCAAAGTGGTTAAAAATCGCGTACCAAGTTGTCCGGGAACCACACAGTCGCCGAAAACCGTTCCATAACATTCGCGGCTACGCTGAGGTGACCGGGAACCCACAAAGTCCTCACACCGAAATTAGTTCTATAGTGGTCGCGGCTAAGTACCGCTGAGGACTATTCGAGGGTTTGGTTCATGTGAACGGCCGCCAGGGAGCTAGCATTCGGTTCCATTCGCAAGATGCTTCCATGTTTTCACTGGTGGCATTTTTGAGGAAGTGGGGAAACCAGGAAGAAAAGTGCTCAATTATTAGCCTAGGATGACTGGGGGGGCGGTAGATGATAGCAATTCTTAAAGGAGTGGGTTTAAATAAGCAGACAGTGTGAACTTCAAAAGGAAAGGATAGGACAGGGGGATTTATGATTGGTTGAAAGGTACATTGAGGGGAGAGAAGGATGCCTGCACCACCTCCTTTACAGTAGAGTCTGTGAGTGTGAGAGAATTGTAGCCCACCAAAACATAAAGAGGCAGGAGTAGCACTATCGGAATGGGGCAGCCAGGTCTCTGTAAGTGCAAGTAGTGTGAGTGAGTTTGAGATGGAAAAGTCGTGTATGGCTGTTGATTTTAAATTACTGCAGATGGAGCTGACGTTCCAAAGTGCACACTGAATGTTGGTAAGTGAGGGTATTGTGATGAGATTTGTGGGGTTTCTGGTTTTCTTAGTGTGTGTAGAGAAGGTGATAATTCTGAAATCAGCCTTTGCTTATTGCAGACAATCAGCTGATGGGGCACAGATTTTCTTACAGCAGTATTGGGGCTTGATAGTTCTGAATTCAGGCTTTGCTTATTGCAGACATACTTGAACACATGGCTTAGCAAACTAATTTGTTTGTCATGCAGTATCGTTCTGCACATTATAATAAAAGTAATATGTGGCAACCCACAGATGTTGCACAGATGAAACGGCTCTAGTCTTTAAACCAAGTGATGGGTATAGTAAAAAAAACCCAGTATCAAGTCTTACTGGCACAAGCACAGTATCCTGACTACACCTCTTTTGCCTGAGATTATGAAGAAGAATCGCTACATGCAACTACTGCAATGCCTTCATTTTAATGACAACATGTCCCCCTAGAAACAACCCATTGTTTGACAGGCTCTGTAAAATTTGTCCCTTTATCCAACTCCTGTCAGACATATTTTCTCAAATGTATGTCTCCGATCAAAACATTTCAATTGAAGAGTCTCTAAAGAAATACAAAGGTAGACTGCTTTTTAAACATCATATACCATCTAAGCGGTCCTGATATAACGTCAAATTTAATAAATTATGCAAATCCTGTACTGGTTACACATGGGTGTTTTGCATTTATCAAGGGAAGGATAGCCACCTTGACCTATCAGGATGCCCTGATTCTGTTTGTACAAGTGGCAAGAGTGTGTTGGATCTAATCCATTCCTTGTTAAATAAGGGTTACAAGCTATGGCTTGAAAACTATTACATCAGTATAGAATTATTTAAAAATGTATTTTGTTTTGAAACCCTAGCTATATATATATATGTATTAAGGCAATGACACTCCCACCACACCACATTTTAACATTTATTTTCTATTTTCTTTCCCTGGGTAGGCCCTCTTCTTTCTCAGGCCTACCTCATCGTCGGTTCCGGCACACCACAACCGACTTGCTCTTTTTACTATCCTACATTTATTTATGGTATTTCACACTGTACTATCATAAGCACCTAACACAAATATATATTTATAAAGGGGTAGGGTAGACAATAAGTAACACAAAACATCTCTCCTGCCTGCAGAATTAGCAATATGCAAATCTACCAGAATATGCAAAATAACAAGCCTTGCTAATCAGGTAGTGCATATAACTGTTGCTACCAACAGAGGGTGCTATACAGGCTCCATAGCCAAATCCACGTAGTTGGTAACAAGCATCAGCACGACAGGAGAGCACACAAAACAGTTAACAATATACAAACACATTATAAATACCCTGCACCTATAATGGGCACAGGGTGACTTTGACATTTTAGGGACCTTTGTAAAGTGTCCTTCTGCTCCCAGGGATGGTGACTATCGTTACACCTGCACTGACCTATTGGCTTGTTTTACCGACTTCTCTGATTTCTGGATTCCCCTGACTTTGACCTGTCCCTGGTTAAGTTAGCAATTCTAAAGTGGCTACACCAAACAATTCAAAATACTAGATTTGTAGTACTTTTTAAAATGTTATGCTATCTTGGGGGCAATTTTCTTTCTTAGGGTGGTCTCTTAAGCTCTCTCAAAGACGACATAGGGCAGAAAATCACTTTATAAATGCTTTAGGTTGAAAAGGGCAACTAATATATTTCACACTGTGACTTAAAAAAACTCTAATCACAGTGTTAATGCTGTGATTAGCACTGAAAGGGTTAGTAAAATCACTTTTTTTAAAATCTTCACACACAGTTTTCAGACAATTACTATCTGCCTCTCTCCCCTTAGATCAGAGTGTATGTGGGGGTACTGTTATATTTGTTGCTATATAAAAACCTGTAAAACTGGTACATGGAGGTCATGTTATATTCAGGAGACAATGTTAAATCAAAATTCTTAGGCTTTATTACACTAACTCATAACAGGAATATGAAATCAATGTCCTGTGAATATTGAGTTCATGTGTGTGAAGAAGCACAAATAAAACTATAACCACAATATGGGCCCTACATTTCTAAAAAAAAAAAAAGTGGTTAGACCAAACATCTCAGAATATGCCATTTGGAATACTCCGGGTTGCCTACATTTAAATATGGTATGCCATTATTTTGGAAATGCTATTACCCAGGCTGCTATAATCTCTCAAAGGCGAGATAGACCCAGCAAACCAACCTGGCGAATTGTCAATGTGTAAAACCATAAATGGACAAGCCGTATATTTGACCCCGTAAATTTTCAAAATCCCATAAAACCTATAAATGGGTAAAACCTATAAATGAATGCAGAGTGGGTGTCAGTATAGTGAATCCAGAGTATTTGCATAGTTTAGTGAATGCAGAGTGTGTGTTAGTGTGTAATGAATGCAGAGTGTGTGTTAGTGTGTAGTGAATGCAGAGTGTGTCAGTGTAATGAATGTAGTGTGTGTGTTAGTGCAGTGAATGCAGAGTGTGTGTAAATTTGTAGTGAATGCAGAGTGTGTGTTAATGTGTAGTGAATGCAGAGAGTGTGTTAGTGTGTAGCGGATGCAGAGTGTGTGTTAGTGTAGCGGATGCAGAGTGTGTGTTGTGTTAGTGTATGCAGTGTGTGTGTGTTGTGCTAGGGTATGCAGTGTGTGTGTTGTGTTAATGTATGCAGTGTGTGTGTGTGTTGTGTTAGTGTATGCAGTGTGTGTTGTTAGTGTATGCAGTGTGTGTTTTGTTAGTGTATGCAGTGTGTGTGTGTTGTGTTAGTGTATGCAGTGTGTGTGTTGTGTAAGTGTATGCAGTGTGTGTGTGTGTGTTGTGTTAGTGTATGCAGTGTGTGTTTGTTGTGTTAGTGTATGCAGTGTGTGTTGGGTTAGTGTATGCAGTGTGTGTGTTGTGTTAGTGTATGCAGTGTGTTGTGTTAGTGTATGCAGTGTGTGTGTGTTGTGTTAGTGTATGCAGTGTGTGTTGTGTTAGTGTATGCAGTGTGTGTGTTGTATTAATGTATGCAGTGTGTGTTGTGTTAGTGTATGCAGTGTGTGTGTTGTGTTAGTGTATGCAGTGTGTGTTGTGTTAGTGTATGCAGTGTGTGTGTGTAAATGTGTGATCTGGGGGGGGAGGGGGAGGAAGGGGCATTTTAACATTAATTTTTAATTAATTGAATTAAATGTTTCTCCCCCCTCCCTGCTTACCTGTGTCCAGGGAGGGGGGAGATTCCATCCGTGGTGGTCCGGTGGGGGGGGCCCCCCGGCTCCCTGTTACCGTCCGCAGAGGGGGCCCAGGCAGCACACAGCTTCTCCTCCTCTCTTCTTTCTTCTAATAACTCTCGCGAGACCCGCGGAGCGTTGCCATGGTAACCGGGTCTCGCGAGAGTTATGAGAAGAGAGAAGAGAGGAGAAGCTGTGTGCTGCCTGGCTGGGCCCCCTCTGCGGTAACAGGGAGCAGGGGGCCCGCGGCTGCACACATAGATAGCGATATTCGCTATCTATGTGTGCAGAAAGGGAAAGTGGGGCCCAGGACTGCCAGAGCAGTCCGGGCCCCCCAGGGCCGTCGGGCCCATGACAACAGTCACGGTTGTCACCCCCTGATGGCGGCCCTGGGTGGGAGAGAGAGGGGACCTGCAGTGCCAGGAAAACGGATTGTTTTCCTGGCATTGGAGTTTCCCTTTAATTGTGACGTCTGCTGAGCTTGAACAAAAGTTGACAATGGAGCTCCGCCTTTTTTCTGTCAACTTTTTAGATTGACAAGCCGCACATTTTTAGATTGCGTTTGAACTTGAAATCAGTCTGTTAATAAAAGGTAAAAAAAAAAAAAAGAACAAGCTTGTGTCGGACACCCTGTTCTCTATACCCCTGATTCATTACCTTCCCTTTCCAAAAATGTTTACTGCCGAAAATGTTTCTCTCTGGCCGTCACTCGGCTACAAAATCCCCGAACAGTCCCCAGCCGTGAACCTTTTGGAAATCGGATACGACTACTTGACCTCGCGGCTCCCGGTCACCTTGAGCCACTGTTTTGCCCCTCTTGCCGACATGCCAGGAGAGCACTTTTGGAGGGAAGATACTACAGACTAATTGGAACAATTGAACCCTGAGAACCAGGGGGAGCCCTCTTTCCATTGACCGCAGGAGCTCCTGCTATTTGACAGGCCCCAGCTACAATTATGCTGAAGCTATTTTGGGCTAAGTCCTCGTGTGCGGCTAGTCAGAACTTTACCCTGGTGGTCATATGACAATTCTTTATGGATCCGGGCACTATTTTGCCAACATGGGTTTTCGAACCAGAGGATGTATTATATGTGTGGTTTCTGAGAGTTCTTACTGTGTTTTGGGGTGTTTTTATGTTAGGCACTTTGTATCCGTAAGATAATTAATTAGCAACTTAATTATCTCCCGGACACAGAGGCGCCTGTACGGGGCACTGTATGCATTGAATGGTCTGTGCAAAAAAGACTGCATTTGGCTCAATAAAATTAGTTGTACTCTCAGAACTATGTGTCGTCTAGTTACTGGGGGAAATAGAGCTATTCACTACAGAGTGCTTTTTCCAGCTTCGAGGAGATTCGGCGGAGATACCCAGTCGGAGTATTGGACCTCCGCTACAAAGCTTAAAGAAATATCGTATACAAAAATGTATTTAACATTTTTTACTGAATTGCAATTGAATCAAACTTAAATTAATATAATAAATTACACTAAAATTAATCTAATAATTTCAGTTATTAAATTTCAACTAAGTAAGTGGAAACTTGATGGCAATTTATTTAAAATTGCTGAAATTAATTTTTGTATTTTCTATTTCTTTAAGCTAAGTGATATCCTGAAATCAGACCGAATTAACCTGAACCCAAGATCCAACAAGAAATAGAGTCAGCAGGATACTCTGTATCCCCGGTCCTTTGACCAGGGTTAACGGGAAGATTATAGTAGGTAATACTACAAAAACAGTGGAATACACAAGCCAAGGTCAAAAAGTAAAAAGGAATTAGGATAAATGATATTATTAGCTAAAGGCCGGGAAGTGGAGAAGGCAGAGAGATTAGTAATAAGCCAAGGTTAATAACGTAAATCAGACAGTTAACAAGGTATTGAGTAAAAAAGAACAACAAGATACCTGACTACCAAGGAAAATGGTTTAAAGGAACACTATAGTCACCAGAACAACAACAGCTTATTGTATTTGTTCTGGTGAGTATAATCATTCCATTCAGGCTTTTTGCAGTAAACACTGTTTTATTTAGAGAAAATGCAATGTTTACATTACAGCCTAGGGATACCTCCATTAGGCACTCCTCAGATGGCTGCTAGAGGTGCTTCCTGGGGCAATGCTGCACAGTGTGCAGCACTGACATTCAGTGTCTCCACCCACTGCATTAAGACACTGAACTTTCCTCATAGAGATGCATTGATTTGATGCATCTCTATGAGGAGATGCTGATTTGCAGGGTTGTGTTTGGCTTGTGCTGGCTCTGCCCCTGATCTGCCTCCTTGACAAGCTCAGCCAATCCAAGACTTTCCTATGGGAAAGCATTAAGATGATGCCAGCCAAGGATGCATATCAGGGGCAGATCCAATAAAGATAAGATTTTTTTATATATAGGGTAGATGTAAGGCTGGGGTGGGGTGGGGTGGGGTGGAGAGGGGGTAGATTGTGTTTTTAACACTACAGGGTAAGGAATACATGTTTCTGTCCCTATAGTGTTACTTTAAATAGGGTACATTTTCTCAGTCAATATCATTCCTGTGCATCAATCATGTGTGAAGATTGAGGCTTGCGAGTCACATCAATTTGAACACATTAATGATGCGACCACTCATTTGTGTAAAAGTCCAAAGGGGCACAGAATGCAGAATTAAAATGAACACCAGAATAATGAACAGGGCATCTATACACAGAAACACATGGCAGTAATAAATCAAGGGGGCTTTGCCGCCACCCCGCTTTAGTTTCCTGGTGTCCCTTATCTGGGGACACTAGGGAACTGCCCCTGGGCAGCAAAGCCCAAGCACATCATGTGCAAGCTGTGCAACAGGCACTACGACCATGTAGGGAGCTCTTCAGCACCACTCCCTGCCCAGTACTTGTCACGGGAGATGGGACTCCTCATACGTGTTCCCTTAATTATACTTTGTATCGTCTAATGTTTCCCTGCATTTGAATGGAATTGTTCCCTATTGTTCGATTACCGAAGAGATTCTGTGGGGTCCCCTTGTTCGCAAATCATGTTTAGGCTGGATTGGAAGATTCTAAATATGATCAAAATTAGGCTTGAGTATTAATCTGTGGATAGGTATTAATGTCTCTTTTGGATATGATATTGGAACACCATGCTTGTTCATGTCAAAGGACTCCTTATCTATGAGGGAATCAAGACATATGGCAAATGAGAGAGTTAATTTATGCTGACACCAGACTCCCAGGCCACTTATGTTGACTTCTCACACCTTACAGAGTAGCTCTGGTGGGGTCCCACTTCAAAGAGAAATTTAGGTTGTTAGCTCTGACCTCCCATACAATCAAATCAACCCCTTTTGAAATTATCAATACCACCTCTACCAGGAAGCCAGTTCATTTATGCACGAACATAACTTTCATTTTACCAAACCGATCTGAGCGCGTTTTGGATATGTTGTGCGCTCAGATCAGGACTATTCGGGAATATAATTTTTGTGGGGTTCCAATGCTGTTGTCATGTCTTTTTGTGATATGTAAAAATTGTATGTAAGTTTTCCTATTTGAGAGATAATTGGATTAACTTGAATTGGAGCTCAAGTATCTCTCAAACACAATGGCTTGTGGGAAGGAAACCCAATGCTAGTGGCACTGCATAAGAAGCCGAGTATGACCCCGCTTTGTAAGGTGTTGGTGTTTTAGAAATTAATAAAACATAGTATGTTTATAATATTTCTACGTTTAATATTTTGTTTATGTTTTAGAGTTGAATTCCTCCTGATTATGTGTTGTACATACTGTGTGTTGCTTTCATGCTATGTGCTTTCACTGAAACTGTGTGACAGCAACTTTTACCTTATAAAGTGTGACATCTCTTGTAAGCCATGTACCAGCCATGTAAGCCATGTAAACCATGTACACAGCATTACAAGGGTTGACCTGCGTTGCCTATGGTTTGGCATCCTGGGATTAACCTGAATTTTCTTTTTGTGTGTGTGTGTTTAGCATTTATATTTGTTTGGACTATAACTTGAGCGTTGTTAGGGCTGTGTGATGTAACACCTTAACAGAGAATCTCTACTGTGCCTGCAGCCAGAACTTGGTATTACAACTTTTGGGACCCTAATGAACCTAAAATATTTGGTGCTGCTGCCCATCCCCACAGAAACAAAATAGTAACACAAGAAATAAAATTAAACTAAACTCTTTTTAAGAATAATTATAAAACACGGTCAAAAGACTATTTTGTAAGATGTATCTAACATTGACGGAAATATTTTTTTAAGACATGTAGTCATGTTTCTTATTTTAAATATTGTTTAATGAATGTAAACATGATTGATATTGTTTCATATGTATTTCTAAATAATGGACGCAATGTGTTTTAGATATCAGGAAAATAAGATAGATTTGTTTTCAGTTGTTGGATTGTCCAAATAAATTAACCTTAAATTATATTCATAATGATAACTAGAAAGAGTTGTGATATTAAATGTTATTTGTTTTTTAATTTCAGCATCAAGCAACATGGAGTCATCAAATGATATCCGTAAGAAATTATGCTAAAAACGTGAAATATATTAGTTTTATTTTTAACATGCTATTTATTTTAAATGTCTAAAAATGACCATATCAATAACTGCACACAAAATAAAAATGGAAATATGAGCACTAACTAAGAATTTGTAAAACAAATGTGTATGTTTGTCTTATTCATATTGCTTTCCATGCATAATAATAATTTGGGGATTGAGGATTGAATATGTCAACAAACAAGACAATTAGTCAAACAGAAAGTTAAATAAAAAAAAAACATAACTTTGATTGTAAACCAAACTTTAGCCAAAATGATCAAATCTGCAAACAAAAAAAAACCTCATCAGAAATAAGCGGACTGTAAAGTTCGGGTTTGTACCGAACATTAAGTTTTTTTGGACCCCGGACCTGAACGTTGACATATCAGTGTATGTTCGGGTTGGAGTTCGGTGTTCGGCGATTTAATGGCGCGTTTTGAAAGGCTGCAGGGCAGCCAATCAACAAGCGTTTGACTTGTGTGCCCTTAGAAGCCATCACAGCCATGCCTGTGATTGGCCAGTGTTGACCCAGCATGTGACCCAGCCTCTATATATAAGCTGGAGTCGCGTAGTGCCGCACGCACATGAGCTCTTATTAGTGTAGGGAGAGGATGCTGCAGCTGTTAGGGACAGATTAGGAAAGAATTCTGGTGTTGAATCTGCAAACTACAGCGATTATTCAAACTACAGCGATTATTTTTGTGGGTGCTATACTACATTTTTGTACCCTGCCCTGAGCCCAGTGCCACAGAGAGTGCAGTGCACTTGCAACTGCATGTGTGCCAGGCACATTACTTTAATCCTGTTCTGGTAGCTCAGTGGGCAACATCTAGGCATTTTTAAATACTGCAAATTTTTGGGTGCTAAATAGTACATTTGCGTACTACATTTCTTGCAATCCAATAAAACTCTTAAATACTACTGATACATTGTTGGTTTAAAAAAATCAAACTTTTTGGTGCTAAATAGTACATTTGCGTACTACATTTCTTGCAATCCAATAAAACTCTTAGATACTACTGTTACATTGTTGGTTTAAAAAATCTAACTTTTTGGTGCTAAATAGTACATTTGCAGCCTGCAGTGCACTTCATATCTGAGAGTCAAATAGAACCGTCAAATATTGTGCTTACATTGCAGTTTTAAAAATTCAAATGAATAATAGTGGGTGGAAAAGCCTACATGTACTAGGACATCTCTTACCAGATGCTACAAACTGTTGGGAATAATCTTATAAAAGATAATCTAAGCAGAACGTTAAAAACGCTAAAATATACAATAGGAACCACTTATAAGCACATAAATTGATAGAATAATGAAATACAAAAATACAAAAAATCTTTGAATACAGAAAAACAGTGATTGCGATATAAATAAATTCACTAGGTGGCAGCCTTGTATCAAAAAAATCTTTGGTATAGAGGGAATCTTCCACTAAACAACGAAAAATCTTAATATATTAAAAAATGGGAAAAAACCTTAGGATTTGTAGGTATTATCATTATTAATGAATGGAATGGATTAGCAGGGTCTGGTGCAGGGTAACCGCACGCCCCCTGGTGTTGAGCACCAGCGTTTGTGCAGCCACATACCAGGACCCTGATGCAGCTTCAGCAAGCAGCAGCAGGCGATAGTGGAGTTTCAGCTGCAGTACTCACGGGTCAGTCGCTCTGCACCAGACTTGCCCTCCAATTGATCCAAGTTAAAGGATTTAAAGTGGACTCATTACAATTACAGGGCCTCGAAAGAGTAGTGTATTGTTATTTGTCATCACTACCTCCCCGCATTGGGAGTGGGTAATTTGTGCGCCTGCTGCCTTCCTTGCATGTGGTAGCCGTTTCTCAGGCTCCCTCTCTGGAATCGAACCCTGATTCCCCGTTACCCATGGTCACCATGGTAGGTGCGGAAAATTGCATCGAAAGTTGATAGGGCAGACATCCGAATGCGTTGTTGCCGTCACGGGGATGTGCGATCGGCACGAGGTTATCCCAGACAAGCGCAGCCGCCTGTCCACAGCCAATGTGGACAAGCTCACGTTTATCAAAATGAACCAGGCAGAATAGACATTTATACCGGCCTCACCCAGCCATTGTTATACTCAAGTGCACTTACTATTTTTTTTCTTTTTTTATGTCCCAATATTTTGGGGGCTACCCCAATAAAAAAAATATATATATAAAAAAAAAAAACAGTGTTGGTTACCTCCTCTGCCTCCACCGCCTCTTCCACCTACACCGCCACAGTCACCGCCTCCTCAACCTCCTACTCCACATCCACCTCCTCCTAGAGCAGGGTGCAAAAGCGGAGCGGCCATCCCCTAGACAGTGTGCCTGCTACTGCCCACCGCACCCAGGGACCAAGCACACTAAAGCCTGCTCCAAGGAATTCCCTGGCGTGGAAGTTCTTAGTTTTAGAAACTAGTGGTCCTTTAAGGCTAAGGGAGGATTAGAAATAGCATCCAAGTCATAGCATCACAGATAATGTTACCATCAAATAGCGTACATGGGAGGCAAGTAAAGAGGCAAACTGTTAAGATATTAATAGTTAAATATCCTGATGGACCTATTTTCTACAAATATATATTCTATATATTTTTGTATATAAACCCTGTGACTGCTATTACAGTTTATCTAAATTGCATGCTGATACTTAAAGATTTAATTTTAAAACCACAATTCACTGCTTGCCATATTTGTCAATAGCTTCCAAAATGTTCTAAACATATATATATATGATTTTGTTTTTATTTTTTACACATTCCCATGTTTTTATTATGTTTATAACTAGCAGTTTGTTAAGTATACTTATAATCCTGTTGGTCCTTTAAAAACTGTATAGGTTATATTATGTGTGCAAAGTGTTAAATTATGGTGGAACAAACAACAATAATATTAAAAAGCCTAAATTATTAAGAGGGTAAAAGTACAAAGTCACAACACTGAAAAGAACATTAATGTTATGAATGAATGAAATGTACTTAAAGGAGCACTTTGAGCACCACAACTACTACAGTGCAATGTAGTGATTATGGTTCTAAGGGTGCCCTGGTGACCTCCCAATGTAAGCAAAGGTTTTAAAAATGATTTGACTTCTAACCTGGTGTTTGTCAAGCACTGCTCTAGCTGGAAGTTCTATGTCAAGTAGGTCAGGATAGCTAATGGAAGCTCCTGAAGGCTGAGAAGATGCAAGTAGCCTCAGCTGACAGACCCCGAGTAAGAAGCCAAACTTTTCTAAAATGGTTTGACAACTTACAATGGGGGCACACCAGGGCACTCCTGGCATTATAACCACCACAGTGTATTGTGATGGTTCTAGTGTTTGGAGTGCTCCTGTAACACATGGAAAATGACATAGTGTAATTACAAGTATTTTGAAAACAAATTAACCACTAAATAAATGAATATGGTCTGTAGATAGTTTCATGCGTTATTAATTATATATAAAGCTGCTGTGTTACCAAATAAGAATAATAATAATGGTCAATCTGTGCCATGGGTGCAATCTGTGGCAGTCAAATCCTCTGAGGTGGTACTAGAGACCATGGTAAACATGGATTGCTATAGAACTTAATGCCCCATGGTACCATCATGGTGGAAACGTTAAACAAAATGGAAGGGAAAAGAAAATCTATGCTTAGACTGGACAGTGAAGTAACAGGAAAGGATGAATGAAAATGAGTCTGGGCACAGAGAGTTATTACATGGTTTCTACCCAAAATATAGCACTTCCAACTTTCTACCATCACTGAACCAAAGGGCACCATTCATCCACAAACAAAAATCTAGATAAGAATCTGCCAGTTAATTGGCTACATTTATTAAAAACAAACAACAACTGCAGGTGTAAATGGCCAGATTAAAATGAATGAGAGAAACAGCAGTTTCTTTGATAATTGCTCCACAGTTTGCTCTTTGCCTCAGAACTGCTCTTTACATGTATGTATATACCAATAGGACCAAACAAACATGCAGTGTTAAGAATTATATTTTACTGTTAAATATGATGTATTGCCTCCCAAAAGAACCTTTATTAAGCTTGTCTGGATGAGAGGAGCACTACTAAAGTAGCAATGTGGTCGAACATTGCCTTCTGGCTCACTATATAGTATATTTTTAAAGCCATTGCTTATACATTTACTAACAGATTAAACTTTTTGTATTGCTTATATTGCAGGTAGCCAACTTGTTGGAATATGTATATGGCTTGGAATAAGCATTGCTATGATTATAATGGGTAAGTGAAGTATACTAGCTGTAGTTGACATGGCTCTTTGTAGCCAATTCTGTTACTAGATACATTACATCTATCAAGTCATTTATGGGTCTGTTCACTAAACATTACATTTTATCCATACACATCATATTTTACCACTCAAATTAGATTTGATTAGCAGCATTCACATGACTCACTTGCATTTCATGAACATTATACACCTCACCAAAACTCACGTTTTTAAAGGTACAGGACTTAGGGCAGGCATGATGACAGAAATTCTAGGTTTAAACACCAATCTTTTTAAAAGAGTTCATAAATAATGTGGTTGTATGTCTGGCCCATAAATATATATATTTTTTTAATTTGACAGTTGTTATTGATTTTTCGGGGGTACAGAAGAAAGATAGGGTGAGGGGGGAAACAACAATCCTGACATCGTCTTGTTTGGGTTCGGCTTGTCTTCACATGTATTGTATTCTCTAAGCTTCATTTATCTTTTCGGTGAGTGGTAGTTCGGGTGCAGAAAGGGATGGGGGAGGGGTACAGAAAGAAAATGGGAAGTTAAGGGGGAAGGGGAGAGGAGGGCGGGATCCGACACATTAATTTTTACTGGTCGTGTTACCTTGCCATACTAACCAGTGTCACCCTTATGACCTATTTTCTTTCCCTCTTGTCACTCGGATCGACCGTCTCTAGGGCCACTCAGTGGCCTATTCTCCTAGTCTAGTTACCAACTTTTTGTGATCCTTTCTAGCTTTGTCTGCATTTGTGGACCTGCATAGAGGTGTCTTTCTGTTTGTGTCATTAAAACTATAACCTATTAACTATGTACATGTGAGTAAACAGGCCCAGGGTGGGCGGCTGTCTCTATTCTCCTGACCTTTGCGGCGTTCTTTCTTACTTTCTTTCCCTTCCCTATGGGGGATGCCTCGTCCCAAGAACTTAATTTTTTTTTCTCCCTACTCCCTGTACCCCTCCATCTTTGTCACCCACTTTGTGTGGGCCAAAGTGGCATGTTTGTTGGAGGGATTTTGTCTGTTCAATCCCTGTTCGTACTCCAGATTGGTGGTTATTTGCTGAAGCAGAGCCTCTTTTGTGGGTGCTTGGGCCTGTTTCCATGCCCTTGCTATCTGGTTATTGGCCGCCACAGGATATGAAATAGTAAACGGGAGTCTGTTCTGTTGAGCTCTTCTAAACCCATGAACAAGAGTCCACATTCCGGTGTTATTGCGATCTCGCTACCTAGTGCCCTTCTCGCTATGTCCTCCACCTCCCTCCAGTATTTAGCTATGATTGGACACTTCCACCACATGTGGTACATCGATCCCACCTCCCCTCGACATCTCCAGCATGCGCTGGAGGAGTTCGGGTAAATTTTTGCCAGCCTCTCGGGTACCATGTACAAGCGGTATTGGAGTTTGTGCATCTGCTCCAAGTGAGACGCGCAACTCGTCCTCTGTTTGTGTGCCAAGAATGCTTGTCCCCATTGCTGCTCAGTGAAAGTTTTCCCTATGTCAGGCTATTTTGAACTTGTCTGGAGGGCCTGTGGTCTGTTGGATCAGCTTATTGTATAGGGTGGATAACAATTTCTTGTGCTGTTTTGTGGCTGTGCACATCTGTTCAATATCCTTTGCCATGGCTGTTGCAGTGTTAGTCGTAGATCCCTGAATCATGGATTTCACTTGGAGGTATTGAAAGATGGTGTTATGTGGTAGGGTGTATTTGCGCTGTAGGATTGGGAAATCGGCTAGTTTGTCTTTTTCGAATAGGTGGCCTATCGTGGTGCATCCCTGTTGTGTCCATGGGCGGTAGTTGAAAGTGGGGTTTACTAAGTGTAGGCTGTACAGGGGGGTCGCTCGTGCCCACCCCACGGTCTGCCCCCAGCGTTGTCTGAAAGTGTCCCATATGGTGAATAAAAGTCGTGTAGTGGGCAGTACATCTTGGTGTATTTTCCTTTGTGTGTGGGGTATCCAGAATAAGTAGCTCAGGCTCATGGGGCATGCTCAAGATGCCTCCATCTCCACCCAATGCGGTACCTCCTCCTGTGCATGGGCCTGTAGGACAGTGGTCAGGATAGCCGCTTTATAGTATAGTCTAATGTCTGGCATCCCGAGGCCCCCTTGTGCCTGTGGTCTGCTCAACACCTTCGCTGCCAGCCTAGTTTTTTGGTGAGCCCATATAAAGCCCGTTATGAGCTTCTGCAATTTATCTAAGTAGATTTTTGGTATATGGATCTGTAGGGTTCTCACTAAGTATTGAAATTTTGGCAGAACTATAATTTTCACTGTGGCCATCCTGCCCAGCCACGATAGGATAGTTTGCCGCTAACAGGTTTATCTGTTTTTTTGTGAGTTTGATCCCTAAGAACGGTGTATGGTCTTGTCTCTAGTCTAATGTGAATGTTTTCTGTAGAAGATCTAGTACAGTTGTCAAAATCCCCACCCCCCTGGCTTGTGTTTTTGTAATGTTTAGTTTGTAGTAGGAATGTCATCCATATATAGTTATTTCTTGTAGTAAGTTGGGGAGGGAGATCTGTGGTTGCGTGAGCGTTAGTAAGATGTCATCTGCGAATAGATTTGTCGTGTATTCCCTTTTGTTAATCGTGACTCCGTGTATTTTTGGGTTGCCTCTTATCCTTGCCGCCAGGGGTTCCAGTGCCAAGACATATAGTTGGGGCAACAGGGGGCACCCCTACCTGGTGCCATCCGTGAGTTGTATGGGCTCCCCGAGTTTAGCACCTGGGCCCCTGGGGGGCTATATAGCGTTTCCACCGCCAATACAAACCCCTCTGGGATATCAAACTTGTGTAGCACTTCGCGAAGGAATCGCCAGTGTAGGTGATCAAAAGCCTTCTCCGCGTCTAGAGAAACCAGCAAGCCCCCGTGTTCTGTTTTGCGGAGATGGTGCAAGATGTTTAGCACCTTTCTCGTATTGTCAGACCCTTGTCTCCCTTTGATGAAGCCCACTTGGTCGTTTTGAATGATAGTTGGCAATACTGCCCCCAGTTGGATTGCATACACTGTGGCTATGATTTTGGCGTCTGTATTTAGTAGGGATATGGGCCTGAAGTTCTGTGGTACCGTGGGCAGTTTCCTTGGCTTGGGTAGTGTTACTATGTGCGCCGCTAACATTTCAGGGGGTAGGGTTCTTTGCAGAACGGCCTGTGTATAGCTTTTGACCAGGTAGGGTACCAGGGTGTTGCCAAACGTCTTATAATATTCATTATTTAGCCCGTCTGGTCCTGGGGATTTGTCCAAAGGCAGGGATTAATATTTCCTCTGTACTTATTGGTTTTGTGAGATCTTGTTGTTGGCGGCTTGTGAGGCGCGGTAAGTGTATGGCTTGGTTGTTCAGGGTTCTAGTGATTTGGAGTATGCGCTGACGCTTGTCGTCAGTGGGGGATATTTGGTTTTGGCTGGTTATGTTATTTAGTTCTTTTTGTAGCTCGAATATGTGCTTTTGTGCCTGTTTTCGGAGGTGTGAGGCCTGCCTGATCAGTAGGCCTCTTACCACTGGTTTATGGGCCATCCAGACTGTCGTGGATGAGACGTCCTGTGTCTCATTTTCCACAAAGTATTGTTTTAGTTGTGTTGTCAGATCAGCCACGAACTGTGGACTGTGGAGGAGGGAATCATTAATTCTCCAGGGGCTATGGTGTTTGACGTCATAGAGGTCGTTCATTTCCAGGAGTACCGGAGTGTGATCCGACCATGTGATATGTGCTATGTCAGAAGTCTTGATCTGGTTAAGGTGGGAACCCGAGAGGAGGAACCCATCTATTCTGGAATATGAGTTGTGGACGTGTGAAAAATGTGTATATGCTTTTTCCAATGGGTGTGTGATTCTCCATGCATCGTAATAGTGGTAGACGTGCAATAATGTCTGGAGGGCTTTACTTTGGCGCTTGAGGGTTCTGTATCTACTGCTAGTATTGTGTATGGTTGTGTCCATGTTCGGGTCAAAAATGTGGTTAAAGTCTCCACAGACCAGTGTTATTCCTTGTCTTATAGACGTCAATGTTTGGCATATTTTGTGTAAAAAGTTCCTCTGGTTTTGCTTTGGTGCATACATGTTTGCAATCGTGTATTCCACTTCATTAATCGTTCCCACTATCATCATGTATCTGCCCATGGGGTCTACATGCTGTCATTTTAGGGAGAAGGTGACGTATCTGCTTATCAAGATAGATGTGCCTTTGGACTTAGTCGGAGAGGTGGAGTGAAACTGATACAGGTATTCTATAGCCAACACCTCTGGATGATCATTCGTGCGGAAGTGGGTCTCCTGCACGCAGACCACGCCTGCGCTTTGTTTCCGAAGTTCTCGGGTTAATAAGTGTCTTTTTTCCAGGATATTCAGTCCCCTTACATTATGTGTGTATATTTCCATGTAGGGTCTAGCATATATGGTTGTGCTGTGTATTGTGAGTGTCTGTTTGTCTTGGGGTGGCTTGCTCCTCCCAGTGCAGACCAACCCCTGGGGTCCGTGTGGACTTCCCATAGGTACTTTGAGTTATGTCAGGTTTCCTTCCTACTCGCCTTCCCCTATTGGCGCGATTTCTATCAGAATCAGAGATGGGAACTCCCACCTGGTCCTTGATATAGATCCCAGTGTCATGGGCAACAGGCCGCATCCCGCTGGTTGTAACAGCATAATAACATAACCAAACAATAAAGAAAGTATTTACAATGTGAAAATTTGCCCTGTTTATGGCTAGGCACTTCATCCAGGTGCCTTGGGGGTAGGAGCTCTCTGCTCCTATGCCTGGGAGAGTATGCGCTTTGCGCTGGCCAGTCTAGCTATGGCAACTTATCTTTTTTTTGTTTTGTTTTTTTGTACGATTAACCCTTCCTGTGTTTCGTGTTAGTTATTGACTTACTGGGTTCTCTGCATGTTATCTCACTGGGATCGCCATCCCTCTAAATATGTGGTATACCTCCTATTCTACTTAACAATCCTGACTGCCCTAAGATTTTTGTCTTGCTCTGTTTTTAATAGTTAGTATTGCAGGATTGGAGTTGGGTATTAGTAAGCATTTAAACAAGAGACATTTACAGTAATTCCAGCATAACCAGCAATACAGTGTTTATACTTGCGGCTTACCTCGGAATGTTATAGGAGGCCTTATCTGGCGCCATGCCTATATAGTCTATGAGTGCTTTGCTCTTTTCCAGTCCGGTACCAGTCTTTTCGGGTCCTTGGCCAGTTGATTCTAGGGTGCCCCCGCAATGCCCCATTCCTTCAATATGCGGGCGCCTTCCTCTGGCGTAGATATGGTTATATTCTTGCCTATTCTCTGTACCAGCAGCTTGACTGGGTATCCCCATCGGTACACAATGTGTTGTTCCCGGAGCGCTGCAGTAATGTCTTGGAATGCTCTTCTTTGTTTGAGGGTAAATGCTGAAATGTCCACAAACAACAGGATGCCTTGGTACTGCTCCGGTCAGTCCCTGCGGGTTCTGCTACTTTTCAATATGGCCTCTTTAATGTGGTAGTAGTGCTGGGAGCATCTGATGGGAGGAACTTGGGCCTCGCCGTCCTGTGGATTCGATCAAAAAGGAGCATGTCTTGCGGTATGTCAGGCATTAGTGATCTCAGGTATGCCGTGACATGCGATGTCAAGTCTTTTATGCCCACCTCCTCTGTTACTCCTCTCAGCCGCAAATAATTTTTTACCTCTTGTGCCAAGATGCGCTCTGCCATTTGCGCCATATCATTATGTGCCTCTTCAGTGTCGGCCATTTTTTCCTCTATCCGGGAGGTTCTGGATCCAAGATCCTCCTCCTTGCGTAGATCTCCTATGGTAGCTTGCACACTTTTCATTATTTTTGTGGACATCTCGTCCAGCATGTCTTGCCTGTGTAAGAGGCCCCTACTAGGTGTGAGCGCAGGAAGCTGCCTCGTGAGAGTCATCTTGGTTTCCCGCCATTTGCGATTGTTTTGTCTGACCTGTCTCTTCGTCTTAGGGTAAGACATTGCGGTAGTGTATGGTGTTTTTTGCTGTTAATGTGTGAGGCAATTGCTCAAATTAGGCCTTTTGGCACGGAGCTGCTGCTACATGCGACTTCTCCTGTTGGTGTCCAGGCCACGCCCCTCCCATAAATATTTTTTACATCTGTGGAACTGTCACAATTTATCCATTAAAAAAGACACTTTACAAGACCCATCTACAACTCTTTACAAGACCACACCTTGAATGTGCTGTGCAATTTTGGGCACCTGTTCTAAAGAAAGATATCATGGCACTAGAAAAAGTGCAGAGATGAGCTACAAAATTAATAAAAGGAATGGAGCATTTTAGTTATGAAGAAAGGTTAAAAAATTTAAATCTGTTTATTTTGGAAAAACAGCGTCTGAGAGGGGATATGATAACATTATACAAATATATTCAGGGCCAGTATAAACTTTTATCTGGAAATCTATTCATAAACAGGGCTATGCATAGGACACAAGGTCACACATTTAGGCTGGAAGAAAGGAGATTTCATCTAAGGCAAAGAAAAGGTTTTTTTTACAGTAAGAGTAATCAGGATATGGAATTCTCTGCCTGAAAAGGTGGTTTTGTCAGAGTCTGTACAGATGTTTATACTGCAATTGGATAAATACTTGAAAAAACATAACATACAGGGATATAATTTCTAATTAGTGGGGTAATAGCTGCTTGATCCAAAGAGACATCTGACTGCTATTTTGGGCTCAAAAAGGAATTTTTTCCTAGTTTGTTGCAAAATTGGAAGCGCTTCAGACTAGGTTTTTTGCCTTCTTTTGGATCAACAGCAACAACATATGTGAGGAAGGCTGAACTTGATGGACGCAAATCTCTTTTCAGCTTTGTAACTATGTAACTATGTGACTTGGAATAGCTGACTTGCTCAATTCCCCAAATTGGCTAAAGGTACACTAGTCATGTTTCTACTTCTTTCGTAAAGCATAACTTTAGCATTCTGAATATGTATAATTGGAGGCACTATTATTGACTTCTGGTTTATTATTATTGTTGTTTTTTGGTTATGACACTCAACAGAAAATTGTCTCCTGACTGCTACTTGTCCATTAGCAAGTCAAAAGGGCCATAGGGATGCTGACAAGAGCAACAAAAGGTGTGCACCCATCAAGTCTGGGAAAAAGTGCAACATTTCACACATGACCAGAGGGATTTTGGCTTAACAGGACAGGATCTTATTTATAAGTAACCTTATCTATAATCCATTTCTTAACAGATTTCTCATTCTTTTGATTTGACAGCTAAATTTACCCTGACAATGCTCTAATTAGCCAGTACACATTTCGTATAGCAGGGCAACTTGGAATTGTTGTAATCAGCCATACCACCTCTGCTAGTTAACCATTTAATGCATCCACTGCACACACCATATTTAATAACAATATTTCTACATTGAAACAATGAATCACTCTATATTGTAAGCTCTTTTTAGAAGGGTCCTCTTCAACCTATAATTCCTGTAAGTTTTTGTAATTGTCTCATTTATTGTTCAATCTCCTCCTATAAAAACTCTACCCCTGATTGTTGGAGATGCAGGACTGGCCATGGTACTGTACTGTGAGTTAGTTCAGGGTTTTGGGTAAAATATAAATGAATTCATTACGAGTAAATTGCAGACATGTATTGTGACAAATGCTCTTTTTCATGGACGTTTGCCACAGACTCCTGGAGGAGTGTGGAAGCTGGCTTCCTGCCCACTGACTATGGTCCAGGTTGGAGACCCCGTTCCTGAGTTACCCTGCCAGACGCCCTTAGCAGCTTTTCCTCTGTGCCCCTGGTTCTGCACTTTTCCTTCTCACAAATTGAACTGAACACTAGCTCCCTGGTGGCTGTTCGCATGAACAAACCCACGAACGGTCCTCAGTGGTACTTAGCCGCGACTGCTATGGAACTGTTGTTGGCATGAGGACTTTGTAGTTCCTGGCCACCTCAGCGATACTTAGCCACAAATGTTATGCAATTGTTTTCGGCTAGGTGACCTTGCAGTTCCCGGGAAACTTGGTCCGGGGTTTTGAACTACTTTGCGATCTGCCAGGAGAGGGCTTTTTGAAGGGAAGATGCCTGAGACTAAGGGGAACAAATGCTCCCTGAGAGCCAGGCAGAGCACCCCGTATTTTGTCCACAGGAGCTCCTGAAAGTTGATCAGTCAAAGCAGTAATCGCTCTGGAACTATTTTAGGCATAGGACTACTTGTGCAGAAGGTCCACTGAATGGATCTGAGCGCTAGTTGGACAACTTGGGCACTCAAATAAGGGCTGTTCAGGGATGTAGGACATGTGGGGTTATTTATGTTTTTATTGTGTTTTGGGTGTACTTTTATGTTTTCATGTTTTCGTGGCTCTCTGTTCCTGGGAGATAATTAGCTTACCGGTCTTTAACTCCCAGGCACAAAGATCTCTGGGAAGGGTTTGTATTGTATACAATAGAGACCCCATGATGGAGGCTATGTATAAATTCTGTGTGCCCTGCCTGAATAAATCAGTTAATTTTCACCCTTCACTGAGTCTAGGCTACTGTTTGGGTGAACAGGTTATACAGCCATACTCTCTGCAGGAGAGCATAATCACTTGAAGCTGTACCCCCGGAACCTGTTCCAGGAGAGATCCCAGCCAAGCTGCGGTGGCTTCGGGCTGAAGCACCCAGGTTGTCCTGGTGGAGAGCTAGGAAGCTAGCTGTCACAGCCCCCGGCTCGCGGCTGCACGTGGTCGCATCTGATCAGTGCGACCAATCTGACAGACTGGAGGACTTACCTGTTCAGCAACGAGCCGGGGAGCCAACCAGCTGGGGCATCCGTCCCCTCCACACGCGGGAGCCATAATGGCACTGACCATGAGGTTGCAGCCATTTGTAGCTCCACCTCCAAAGGTGACATTGACGCACATGCACGTTCTGGGGTCAGAGGCCAATCACAGCCCAAGGAGGAGTATTTAAACCCCTGAATTTTCCTAGCTCATTGCCCTGTCATGATTTCTGTTCCGGGTTCCCGAGAGTGCGTTTTCTTGCCATTGATATTCCCGTTTTTCTGACTTTGGCTATTCCTGACTATTTTGATCTCTGGTTTCCCTGACTTGGCTTTTTTATCGATCTTGTGTATTTCTGGCTTCCTTGATCTTGGCTTTCCCTTGTCGATTCTCTGACTTTCAATGTATTAATCTGGCCATTCTAAGGACCAGTTTACGTTCTATTTTTCTATTCTATGTAGATGTTACATAGTTTTGCATGTTGGATCACATTAGTAGTCGTGGCGCTAGCTTGACAGATGTACTCAGTCGGGGTGACAGGTGATCCATCACATGTATCACTTATAAACCAGAATGTTTTCTATTACATATCATCCAAGATTTAGACTCCATTCACACTCATGTTGTTATATTGAACCTCTTAGCTGCGGCCAAGATTACCATTGCTTTTCACTGAAAAAAGCCAGGTGTCCCCCTCGGTGAGGGAAGTTATTCAGAATGTAGACTCAACAAGTCTTTATGAAAATATGTACTTTTGCCAGATGGGGAAATTGAAAGTCTACATCACGAAATGTGGTATTTGGGGAAATATAAACTAGATGCTGCATATGCACCCTTAGTGGTATGACCCTTCCTCTAGATCTTGGATAATTCTGTTAATTTATCTACCCTTAGGGAGTCTTCTGGTGAACTACTTGGGCATAATCAAGTTAGGTACAATAGACTCATAGCTCAATCTCACCACAGTAAGGTATTACCTCAGGCAGGTGTTAATGATGTCCTACAGACTACTAGTAACATCCAGGACATGGGGGACGCTACTTTTAAACTTCTAAACTGGCACTCTGTTCCATAGTATATACCAAGACCGGCATGAAATAATTACTCTTTGTACATGGACCAATAGAGTATTGATAATTGTTGCATTATGTCTCTCAAGCAAATTCTCCTATGTTTTATTTGTTTTATTTATGTTACATTATTGTTGTGGACCGCCTGGTACCCTGGCTGGGTAACTCTGCCAAACTCACTTCCTAGCTAGCACAAGGACACCCACAGCGCTTCAGACCCTCAGTGACCACAGCTTGACTGAGGTCGAGCCAGAGTTTCCCACCCTTGAACAGGGTCCTGTGTTACAGCTCCAAGTAATTAAGCTCTTCTGCAGTGAGTATAGCTATATAGCTGTCTCATCCAAGCAGTAGCCGAGACTTAATGAAGGGTGAAGTAGAACTGTTTTATTAGGTCAAACCATACATAATTTTTACACAAATCCTCAGTATGGGGTCTCCATTCATTGTACGACAAGTCTGCCCAGGCGCCTCTGTGTCTGGTAGATAATTCAGTCAGATATCGGTTAAGCTAACTATATCCCGGACACAGAGAGAGCAACACACAAAACACGCCAAAACATACATAAAATAACTGAGCACCCTACATGTCATATGTCCCTGAATGCCCAATCTGTCCAAATAGTGCCCAGATGGGTGGTGGCTGGCCCAATTTGGATGGAAGTCAAAGCTTTAGCGGGCTACGGCTGCTCTCCGATCCAGCGCAGGGTTTAATGGCATTGGCGTGAAAGTCTCGGTCGCCCAAAACAGCGGCACATTCCTTGGGTTCATCTAGCTCCCCCAAGTTCAGGTTATCATTGGATGCCTCATCACCTCCTCTATCTCCCCTCCAAAAAGCACCTTGCTAGGAGGTATTGGGACCAAAAGCACTCCAAAGTTTCAGCAGAATTGCGGTGTAGCCATAAACCACTCTAGAGTTCCATGGCATTTGGAGTTTGCTCCCGGTCAGTCATGCCATGTCTCTGGAGCCTCCCTGTGGGTCTGTAGTAGTTCTGGGGCTGCTAGGAAGGGTGCTGAAGAGGAGGCATGGCTGGTAGTGAGTAGTATAGCGAATATAGCTCTTTCCAGAGGAGGTGGAGGGTTGGAGAGCCAGGCAAAGTCAGGCAAGGTGTCCGGGTGGGTAAATTTGTATTTTTAAACAGGACAAAGGTCTCTGTGGTGAGGTCCATAGTCCTTACGCAGGAGTCTAGCTATCATGCTCCTCCAGGAGCTCGTGGCATAGGTACGTTTGTAACAGTTATATTATGTTACGTAAATGCCGCATTTTAGTTACCTCACTTTACTTTACTTCACTTCATGTGATAAAAGTCCACTAGGCTATCACGCTTAATTACTGTATTGTACCCCTCTCATTCACATCATAAGAGGGTTTCCTATATAAGACCACAAAGTTATGCTTGTTATGCAAAATGTACCACTGTGATTATAATGATATGATGTAACAGCACTTTTATGTTAAAATTCTCTGTGATGTAAAATTCCTTTCGCTAATTCTTTGACTGTACCATTGACATACGATGACTTGTACATGCCATAATTTTGTATTTTAAAAACAAATAAAAAGTAACCATTGAAAAAAAATAGAAGTGGTTCCAGAATAGAACTCTGAGGGACACCACTTTTGTCCACCTTGAAAGTTTGCCATTAATGAAGAACAAGAATTTTCATCTGGGCCAAGTTCATTTAGTTTAAAAACTAACCTATTGTATGGAACCATATCAAATGCCTTTGCAAACTGCAAGTAGATCACATCCACTGCAACACCCTGATCTACACTGCTACTTTTTTGTAGAATGTAATTAAGTTAGTTTGACATGACCTATGTTTCATAAAACCATGCTGATTTTTGCTAATAACAATTTTCTTCCAAATTAATTCCTGAATATTATCCCTTCAATTAATTAATAACCCTTCAAATATTTTACCAGCCACAGAAGTTAAGCGCATAGGTTTAAAATTGCCAGACAGACATTTTGAACCCTTTTTGAATATAGAATCACATCTGTCTTCCTCCAATCCACCGGTACAGTTCCCGAAAGAAAATAATCCTGAAAGATAAAAAACAGAGGTTTATTTTTTACACAAATAGCTCCTTAAGTTGTCAAGGGTAAATACCGTCAGGTTCCGGAGCTTTGTTTAAATTAACTTTCTTTAGTTGCTGTAGCAGCTTGTCAAAAAAAATCTAATTTTTTTCTGCAATTTTAATTTGCACATTTCTTGACATAGGTTCCTCCTTAATATACACTGAGGAAAAGTAGTTATTAAAGATGTCTTTATTAACAAACTGTGGTGGTATACCATGAGTAGCTGGGTTACTACCGCCTAGGTTGTCTCATCCCACAGTGATTAAACTCTCCTGCAAAATGTACTGCTGTCTCACTCAAGCACTAGCTGAGACTTAGTGAAGGGTGAAAATTAACTGTTTTTATTGAGGAAAGCACACAAATTTATACCCAAACCCTCAGCATGGGGTCTCTCCAACCGAGTACCTGCACCCAGTCCGCATCCTTGCTGCTTAGAGGGACCCTGGAGCGCTTCAACCCCAGTCACTAAGGCTTGACTGGGGTCTCTCTGGAGCTTTTCCACCAGACCAGGCTGCAGCTCTCCTTCCAGACAGGTATTGTCTTCACTGCCTATTAAAAACATGGCGTTTTTCGTGGGTACATGGAGCTCCCTCAAGTCCTTGGTATTGTTTGATGCCTCTCCACCTTCTCTGTTAACCTTCCAAAGAGCACCCTGATTGAGTAACCTGGGACCGAGAGCGCTCTATTTAAAATTTTAGTGGACCACGGTGACTCTGTGATCTGCAATAGAGTTCCTGGACGATGAGTCCAATGAGAGTCCCTCCCGGTCAGACGTACAATGTCTCAGCATCCCCTCTGGCAGAGGCTGGGCGGTTCTGGACAGCCAGGTAGGGGCACTGGCCTGGGAAACATGGGTTGAAGGGTTAGTTCAGAATTATATAGTCCTTTTAGTGGAGGTAGAGGGGCTGGGAGCCATGACCAGAGGGTAACACTAACACACCTATTGCTTTTCAGTATACCTACACTTTCACGTTTTTGTTGTTTTTAAATGTATTTACATAAAAAAATGGGGTTGGTTTTGCACTCTTTGGCTGTGACGTTCTCATTTTCTTGTTTAGCCAATCTTACTACCTTTTTACATGTATTATTAGCTTTTGTTATATCTTTTTATTTATTTATTTTTGTTGTACAAGTAAGTACAAGGCAAAGTCAAACGCCACAACAGCATACACTTATACAGAAACAAATCTATACGCTACATAGTGGCATGAAAAAAATCCACACATTTTTGTTTTATAGGAACAAGTTTAACTAGTTGACAAGTCTCAGATTTGAGTAGCTTTGTTATTGAGGTTAGCATGATATGCGTGCAGTACAATAGATGATTTAAGTAAAACAGGCATGTAGCACATGCAAACTATTTTCTAACAACATGGTAGTAGCTTGCATAATAGTTATAGCGTGTGTGTGAAAGCTGGTCAAATGCATTTGGGTGTAGAAAACATGCAAGGCGCTTGAAGCTTATTAAACTACGTTAAAGTATAGCATGCTAGTATGGTTGAGCTAAGTAAGTTTAAAACCACTAGAGCTGAGCAGACCTCTGTGCCAAAACATAGTTATGTGAGAGGCTGAGCAGAGAGAGATAGTTAGAGTGAGCAGAGTGGCTAAAGTGCGAGTCTGTGACCATTAGATCTTAAGGGGGCCATGTTAACCTGAGAGCTGCTGTCTATTGCTGAGCCAATGGTTATGGTGGGCTGTGATTCTCTGTGTTGCATAGCGTCGCCCAGAGTTCACTGTCCTTGGTGAAGTGGCACAAAGGCTTGCCAGAGCATGAAGTCATGGGGGACCCGAAGGCCCTATCAAGCATCTTTGTTATTCATCTGGGTGGCAGTGCAGCTCCCCATTCCAGGCTTGATTTTCGGCCAGGTTCACTGCTTAGCAGGCTAGTCAGGAAATCGGTAAGTCCGTTTGGTAAAGCTGTATTGCGGCATGGTCTCACAGCTTCCCTCCAGCTCCTGGCCCCAGCATGGGTCGTCTGTTGTGAACAGAGGGTCCCATGACTTGCACAGCTCCACACACTACCTTCCTGTCGTGGGCAATCAGTAGAGTCTATGCTGGAATCGCCGTGAGGTCTGCTGCTTGGGCAGGTGATATGGCTTCCTCTCGTAAAGGCTCAGTGGTGCCCGAGCCATTGGTGGAGCATCACGGGCCATCACCATCTTGCGAGTTAGGCCTAAGCAGGTGTTCAGCCTTCTCCCAGCCCAAGCTCTCTTCAGTGGGGACCGGGATGACCCCCCCGGCCCAGAGGGGGGGACGCGGGACCGGCAGGCCTGTCGATAAACCGGCGTGTGGTGGCCCGAACTGGAGGCAGGGGAGCGGCTGTCCACCCAGCTCCCCTCCTGAGTAGGCCACAGTCCCCGAAGCCTCGTGCCTCCCTCAGAGGACCCGAAACTCCCGATCTCGGGGTCTGCCACCTCCTCCACCACTGTGTGGATGTCTCGAGGCATCCTTTCTAGTTGGTGCTTGCACCAGTTGTCACATTAAGGTTTCATTTAACAGGATCAAAAACCTGATTTTCCTTGCTGAACTACTAGTTCTTCTATCCCAACATATGCCTGGGTAATTAAAATCTCCATCAATCTTCCTCATTAATGTTTACATTAGGAGGTTTATAACATATCCCAACCAATAACTGATTTCCCTTCTTTTGACTGAAGCAGATATCTGCCCATAAAGCTTCCACATTTTCTGATCTTGTCTCTAAACCCATATCTAACCCACTTGTGCTGAGTTAAAGTCCATCTAATGTGTGTCCTATCTTCATTTTGTATATTTTACAAAATCTTTAATTACCTTGCTGGTTTAAACTCCCGTTTTTCAACTCCTATTTAAATATAGCCTACTTATAAGAGACTACTTTTAAATAACTGCAAGTGAGCTTAGAAATATGATGTTATTTTACACATTGGTGTGATGTTGGGGGGTTGCTGGACAATAACATGTCCACCACTCCCTTGATTTTTCAATAGCACACACCAGCTCCCCCTTTTTAACTTTTTAATTGCTCTCAAGTTGGGCAAGGGACCGAATAAGTTCCAGGCCCTCCCCTGATAATATATTAGCCACATCCCCATGCACCCTTGCTGCCAAGTTGCTGAATGGTGGTCTCCAAACATTGCAAGAGGTACAAATAAAAATGGAAGACCACCAATTAATCAGTAAGCTCACCGCCACTGTCCCTATGTCCCTAATTCCTTAGATAGATTCCACAGTGTGTGGGTTTACTTGGGATTAGTACAGTGACGAGAATATGAATTTTAACTATTTTGAGGGTCTATCTCGCAGTAGTAGATTGGTAGCTTTAGTCCCATCGACAAGTACATTTTTCTTAAAATTCCAAATATGTTTGATGCAACATTTTCTTTCATTCACAGGAGCCATCTACAAAGATGACTGCGCTATCCAGCCATATATACCAATTTACCTGATCGTTGGAGGTGCTGCACATTTCCTGGGTTTTTCTTTGATTTTTTTCAGACTTGCATGCCAGACATTCAACATATTTTTAGAAGGTTTAACTAGTTTGTTGTCATTTGTTTGGTTTATTTCAGGTAAGCTTCCAATGCATTCCATGGACTAGCAAGAAGTCATTTGTTTAACTTAAAATAGCAAAATATTCAAGATGAAGAGAGGAAGTTGTAAGAAGTAAAAGAGGGAATGCAAAAATGCCCATGGAGAAAGGAAACATAAAAACATTTAGAGATTTTAATTCTTCATCTATCTGTCTGTCTGTCTGTCTATCTTTTTTCAGTCTGTCTATTTATTGATTAATAAAATGCATACAGGCATACCCCACTTTTAAGTACACAATGGGACCAGAGCATGTATGTAAAATGAAAATGTACTTAAAGTGAAGCAATACCTTTTTTCAATTCCCAATGTATGTATTGCATTGTAATAGTAATTTACAGGCATAACTAATACTGCAACTGCAGATTTCCAGTGATTTTATTCCAGATTGTACCATTTCTCTTTAATGTTTTACTCATCTGATAACCTTAAACTGGGAGGAAAAGTAAAATAAACCTGCTCACTGTGCAATTTTCTGCCAATACAGTGCCAATTTGTATATGTTATCAGCTTAGTTGCACACTTTGTTTAGAAACACCTCTTCATCACTTTAAGCATTTATGGTTTAACTTTGAATCCTCAGAGTTGTGGCTAATGCAGCTAAGCTGCTAAGTCATAGTTATAGAAAATGGCAGGGTAAACCCTTTCACTGGATGACAGCCGATTGCAGAATATGGACAATGTAGGGGCAGAAAAAATATATATGTGTTCAGCTAGGAGTAGGCATTATAAATTTGAGATGATTAACCTGTGCCATGTCAGAAGGTGTGAAAAGTTCTTGCCCCAGAAACAATGAACTGAGGTGCTCCGGGCGTGAATAGAACCTTCCATTTCCTGTTCACTCGCGGACAGAAGAGGCGCGGGAATGTCTGTACTCGCGAGGCACCTTTACGTACACTCGCGGGTATGTCTGTACTCATGAGTGTACTTAAAGTGAGTGTATGTAAAGCGGGGTATTGTACAATCATTCCATATTCTGGAAAACAAAAGGGGGAAGGGTATGGGATAAAAGTTACAGGTATAAAAAGGCAAAAATTATGGACAATCTACAGAAGTTGTAAGTATATGAGCACATATTTTCTCTGTATAGCAGTGTTTAACTAAGGTTGAATATAATCTATAAAAGATAGATAAGATTTAGTTTTGCTTGGGAATTGTTGGATATATTGAATCTTTGCATGTTGTTCTCATACTTTCTATTAGTTTGCACCTATAGGAAACCAAACCTTTAGCAAATGGTTTGACTACTTACAATGGAGTGGTGCTAGGATATTACAGACACCATGCTACAGTGCCCTATAGTGGTAATGGTGCTTGCAATGTTCCTTTAATTACTTTCTTGACCCCCAACTTAAAGTGGCTTTGTCACCTCAAACAAAGCTTTCTCCTATTGATTTCTCTTCTCTCCCTTTTTAAAAATATGTTATTTTTTCTCTTTATTTCTGATCTATTTCTCTTCAAAGCATAAAACAAAGAGGGACTACTTTGTCTACAGTATTTTTCCTACGCCTGACAATTGTGAGAAAAGGGTGGAGCTTAAGGCAAGCTCCCTACTTTGTCTTATGTTTTTAAAGAGAAATACATCAGAAATGAATAAAAGAAGAACAGATTCTGAAAGAGGAAGAGAAGAGGAAACCAAGGAAGAAAGATAAGTTTGAGGTGACAGTCACTAAACTCCTGACCATTATCTCCCATTTTGTAATGTAGCATTGGAAAAAGTCTATACTGTGTCACTTCATGGCTGCAATACCTACACCACAATGAGGGTTGTACAACAACTATATGATGTAATTAGTTTTCATAATATCTGGAACCCCTGGATAAAAACCTGCACAATCCTCACTGTTCCATGAAACACTTTTTATTTTCCTCTTCTCTTTCTTTTCCCTTCTCTCGCCCTTACCTCTCTGCCCTGGCAGTGGACTCCCAGCTTTCTGGTTAATAGTATTTAAGGCATTCATGTCTGGTTTATAACTCATTATATTGATTTGACTTATATTTTTCAGGAAGTGTTTGGGTTTTCAGTGTGTACACCAAGTATGAAGGCCAATGCAACCAGCATCTTTACTTATTTGCTTTTGGTATCCTGCTAGTGCAGTATGTTCAAATTGGACTATTAATGATTTGTTCCTGTTGTTGCTGTTCACCAAGATCAAACTCATATGAGAGGTAATAATTTAATTCACTGTCTATCTTAACCCTTCCTCATAAGGGGGAAGGGTATGGGCCATAGATGTGAAATGGGTGGTGTGGCTGAATTACTGGCATTTCAGCCTGGTCTAAAGGTATGCCAGGCTTCCTGACAATATCTAAGGCCAGACCACTGCGGGTAGACCCTGCAGGGAGCTCTGTGTTTCAGCAATCTGTGTAGGGTCCTAGTGCCACGACCATTTCAAGAGCGTATCTAATGATGTGCTTGCACTATGCTTGTTGGGGACAGTTCTCTGGTGTCTTCAAAAGCAAAAAGAACACAAAAATTGGAACGTCCTCCGAAAAATGGGGTGGTTAAGAGGCTAGCTTAATCTCACTTAACTACTTAATGTTAAGCTTAATATTTCTCTAAGTGATAGGGCCAGATTTACATCTCAAAGATATCTAAACTTTGTTTTTAACCCTGGCGTAGCAAAATACAGACAGGACCAGGCAGTTTTAAACAAGGGCACTTTATTGTCACAGAAGCAGTTAGGAACTGAATGTATCTCATTTTCCAAAATGTGGCAAATCTATTTTAGAAAAACAGTACAGCTGAAAGAGAAGAATGTTTAATAAGACTAAAGGGGCTATTCATTAAAGACAGGATCTTGCCTAAAAAAAACGAATTTCGACTGCAATGGCAGTTCTCATATTTACTAAAGCCAGTTGTGATCAGGATTCAGTCAGGTAGAGAGAATCTACAGGCATCACCCAAATTCTTTTGGTGTTCAGATTAAAATATATATATTTTTTGTGTGTCAGAACCCTGTAGAAAACATAGGATTCGGAAGATTTACAAAACGCCAACTTAACTAAAATTCTAAACCAAATGAATCTGGTAGGATGCACATTCGCAAATTATCATTCACTTGCTTTTATGCAAGTAAACAATAATTATTATTTGCCCTCTGGTAAGCTATATACCTCATCTACCAATCCTACTTTTCAGTATGTTATTGAAAGTCTGAAATAAAAAAATATTACATAAAGGACACTAGAGCTCATGAATAGATAATATTTATAGCTTTTATATTAGTTGTTTTGTGTTTGCGTGACTGTCTTTTTTTTCTTTGTTCATAAGTGTCTTCTTTTTCAAATGAATGATTTTTATTTCTCATTTTCTTTCAGCGTTTGATGCAACACATGTAAATATAAACCGTCAAAATATGCAACATACATTATGTACCATGTTCTTCAATAAAATGTTTTTGTGGAATAAAATTATTAGCCAAGATAGCTAAAGGGAAGCTATAATCACCAAAACAACTTTAGTTCAATGAAGCAGTTTTGGTGTATGAATCATGCCCCTGAAGTCCTACTGCTCAATTCTTCAATTATCATTTAAGTATAAGAATACATTTTTACTATTGGTTACATTTCTTTCATAATTATGGATGATCTACTTGTGACAGACTCTCCTTTTCCTTTCATATGGATTCTTCTTTTGTGTTCCTGGGAGCAGCTGATCCATCTTTTTTTCTGCAGTGAAAAGACTGGAGGGCCTGACTCTACTGACTCTCTTATGGACTTATCAGCCAGCACAGACGATAACAGACTCCTGCATAAAAACTGTGTTGCACAATGCCATCTGTTTGCAGAAGGTTTTGTGTCACAGCTATGCACACTGTTAGGAGTGTTTGCATATTATGGCAATGCAGGCAAAATGCTATGGCTTGCTTTGTTTATGTTTCCCTGACTCCCCATCCTTCTGGCAGTTTTATTTTATGTCGTGTTGTTGCCTATGCTTTCCAATGAATTCAAAATTATAAAGTTAATATAGAAATAATATACATAAAAAGACTAATAAGTGACCGGAGCATCTGTATCTCACCCAATAGTATCATACCCACTTCTCCAAACATTAATACATGCAAAACAACAATAAAGTGAAAAGTGCACAGTGATATAAACCACTTAAAGGGACACTATAGTCGTCAAAACAACTTCATCTTAATTAAACAGTTTTGGTGTATAGATCATGCCCCTGCAGTCTCAGTGCTCAATTATCTGTTTATGAACCCTCCCTGCATGTGACTTGCACAGTCTTCCATAAACACTTTTTTTTTTTTCATGCAGGCTGTGTCAATCAGAGCCAGGGAAGGTGTTTCAAGTGTTTTATAAACAGAAACACAGTGATTTAATTCCTAAATGGTAGTGGATTGAGCAGTGAGGCTGCAGGGGCATGTTCTATACAACAAAACTGTTTCATTAAGCTAAAGTTGTTTAGGTGACTATAGTGTTCCTTTAATGAATCATATAGTATTCATGTACAACTATTTTCTACAAAATAAGTAGAAAAATATCTCTCACAGTGTAGATGCATAATTATCGTCTCTTATTTAACATCCACTTGGGTTATTCACATTTTTCTGAGTCTCTAATGTTGGCTCAAACATGATAGTACATATGCAAATGTTTCCTCAATATCTCCCCAGATCTCTGTACTTTACATCACTCAGCAGGACATACTGCTCCTCACCAACCATATACCAGACAACTGGTTTAGCAAGGTAAAGTGCTTAAAGGAACTCTATAGGCTTCCAGACCACTTCATTTTTGAGTGCCAAGGAGGGTTTTAGCCCTGCAGTTGAAAACATTGCTGTATTGCTTCATTGCAGTGTTAACCTGATCTGACTTTTTTTTTTTATTGCATTTATCACATTAACTTTGCATTATATATATTCACAGTGCTCTTACAACAAATTATTTAAAAACGCTGTAGCTCATTTAATTTATTTAAAAAAAAAACTATTCAATTTGTCTTCCACGTTTTAATTAGTGTAGGACCCACAGATATTGGGGTATTGTGAAGTAGTGGTGGGCTTAACACAATATGACCATAAGGTGGAACTGAATAGCCATATCTGTTTGCTGACATATGCGATTTTAAGTAGCCTTATAATATGTAAAGTTTTATTTAAAAAAAAAACTTATGGCACAAGTTTAAAGAAACTAATATGTACCTACAGATTTGGAAACTATCTAAACATTGCCTCATATATTATGTTTGTGATTGGACTGCTGTACTCTCAGAACAAAAGAATGTTAACACTGGGTGATTTGACATTAAAGTGATGGAACTTGCTACTAAAGATGTGCAAATGTCTTAGTTCAAGCAGCTTGTGATAAGTAAGAAGTACATACTTCAAGTTCCTCAGACTGTTGCAGATAACAAAAGACATACGGCAAATACCTGCAAGTTTCTAGTTTTATTTTGGTCATACAAAAGAAGTTCCTCAGACAGAAATTAAACTTAGATAAATCATATTCAACTTTTCATGTAAAAGTGTATAAACCACAAACAGATTACGATACATATACATATTACAAATCTACAGTCATGAAGAGAATCCCTTTATGCCCCTTGCACCAACTACACCCCTATGTCCCTCCCCCCTGCACCTACTACAGCTCTCTTTGTCTTCCCCAGCACCTCTGTGTGTCTCTTTCTCCCCCAACACCTTTGTGTCTCTTTTTCCCCTTCCTTCATCAGCTCCTCTGTGTGTCTCTCCCCCAGCACCTTAGTGTTTCTCTTACTCCCCCCTATCCACTCTGTGTCTCTTCCTCCTTTCCCTGCTCCTTTTTTTTACCTCTCTTCTCCCCCCAGCCCCTCTGTGTGTCTCGTTGGCTGCTCCAGTCCCTCTTTGTGTCTCTTTTTCCCCTCAGCATCTCTGGGTGTCTCTTTGCCCCACCAGAACCTGTTTGTGTCTTAATGTCCCCCAACCCCTCTGCATGTTTCTTTTTCCCCTTCCCCAGCCCCCCTTACTCAGCCCCTCTGTGTGTCTCTTCTACTCCAGCACATTTGTGGGTCTCTTTCTCCCCCAGCTCCTTTGTGTGTCTCTCTGCTTCCCCAACCCCGTTGTGTGTCTCTTTGCTCTCCTATCCCTTTGTGTGTCTTTTTGTCAGTCCCAGCCCCTCTGTGTGACTCTTTGTCCCCCTTTATCCCCCTAAGCCCCTCTATGTGTCTCTTTCCCCCCCAACTGTGGTGGTATACCCTTGAGTAGGCGGTTTGCTACCACTGAGGTCACCCTTTCCCTTGTGAATATAGCCCTGGACTGTTATGCTCTCTACTGCAGTATATACTGCAGTGTCACCTAAATACTAGTCAAGACTTAGTGAAGAATGAAGAAGAACAGGTTTTATGAAGCAAAGACACAGGAATATATACCCAGACCCCCAGCATGGGGTCTCGATTTAGTACAGCATAAGCCTGCCCAGACGCCTCTGTGTCTGAGAGATTTTATAGAGTCAGTTCTCAGTTAAACCAATTATCTCCTGGACTCAGAGAGCTCAATAAAGAAATTCCCCCAAAATATACATAATATAGCAGAGCACCACCACATATAATATATCCCTGGAAAGGTCTCTTTAGAGTTCCCATGCTGTCCAAAAAGAGCCCAGAATTCATGAAGCTAGCAGTCACCAAAGATGTTGGCGCTTTCCATTAGTACATGGCGCTCCTTCAAGTCCTTCGTATCAATGGATGCCTCACCATCTCCCCTTATCCCTCTGTGGCCCTCTCTCCCCTACCCAGTCCTCTGTGTGTTTCTCACTCTCCTAGCTCTCTGTATTCCTCTCCCCCCCTCAGCCCATTGTGTGCCAAACCTCCCCCTCAGCCCTTCATGTGCCACTTCCCCCCCCCCCGGGAATTGAGTCAGCACTTGGTTAAATTAATTATCTCACGGATACAGAGGATGCATACAGAAAAACCATGAAAATATATACAAAACAGAATCACACAGTGACGGAGCTCCTGTACTCTGACCGAGTACCTCTGCCAGGTCTGCATCCTAGCTGCCACAGAGAACTCTTGAGCACTTCAGACCTAGTCAGATTCTCCTTGAAGACTGCTTGTCTGGAAGATGTCATGACGTGACACGCGTACATCCACGTGCACGCCTGGAGGAGGAGACTGGTCGCATTGGAAAAGAGGGAAAGTGTCTATGCCGCGGTAAACTAATACCGAACGGTATTATTGACCCCAGGTTTAGCGACCTACAACCCACAGAGGGTTTGGTGTGCCCTGCTCTGGAGAGATGTATGTTCAGACCTGGTTCTTGGAGACTCCGTTTTCCATGTGGTGCTGGAGTTTGGCAGGCGGACAGGATTGCAGCGTTTGCACTGCCATATACCAAAAGGATAAATTGAAGAGCAGAAAGGGAAGAAGCTGGACATAGCAATCAAATAGAGAACCTGCCTCCAGCACAAATAAGCTGAGTACAATATATATACTCTAAAGATCTTACATACTTACTAGATATAGGAAGAGAGAGATGTAAAGAGAAAGTAAAGACAAATAGTACTTTTTTTTCTTTTTATGTGTATATATGTTTTTTTTTTTCGTTTTATTTCGTTTGTGAGCTTTTTTTTATTGCATCTGTTTCCTCCTCTCTTGACTGGTGATTGAACTTATAAAACTTATTTGTGAGGGCTGTCTCCCCTTACTAAATTGAAGCAGAAAGGGAAGAAACTGGATATAGCCATCAAATAGAGAACCAGCCTCCAGTACAAATAAGCTGAGCATAATATACATACTTTAAATATCTTACACAGTTACTTGTGAAGCAAAAAGGCGGACTCAAAATGGCCAATAAAAGTCAGGCGACAAAAAGAGACAAAAAGCAAAATAAGTTAGACAAAAGCTTGCCTGGGTTCTTCTTCCAAGTCGCACAAAAAGAGAAGTCCATAATAGCAAACACAGAGGTCAGTCAAGACCCAGAAGACACAAATGTATCCCAAGCATTTTTTAAAAGATTGTATGCAGTCAATGGTGGAGACCCTGAAAGGGTGAAATTAAGTCCAGTGCTATAGACATCAAACAAGAACTTGGACATTTAATTACACGTCTTAACCAATTGGAACGAAAACATCAAATCTCATTCAATTCTAATGAACCGCTGGCACAGACTACCTAAACCAAGAGGTATTCCTGATTGAATCTTCCTGAATCTTCAAATCAATCAGAGCCCCAAATAATCTAGAATCACTTCTAAGAAGTATTCAGGTATTCCAGGAGCATTCATATATAACAAGATTGCGAAGAAGAAACTTTTCAACAGAAATTAATCTGCTTAAAACACACAATATCACATTCCGCTGGAGTGCCCTGGCCACTCTAAGAGCATACTGGGATAACAGATGGAACTCTTTTAGGACACCTCAAGAAGCCAGACAATGCATAGAACAAAAGAAAGCTGAATTAACAAAGATCGGCATGGAGGTCTACGAAGAGTACGAGAATAAAAAAGGATAACATGAATTTTAAAAGGAGAATTTTAAAGGAAAAGAAAAAGATAACTTTTTTTTTCTTTAATATATAGGTTAACACACATTTGATTTTTTAGAGTAAGGATATACTAGGTAATAGGGTAGAAATATACAGATTTCATTCCCTACTAATATAGCAAGCATCAATAGGATTAAATTCCACCATAAGAGTGAACACAAATAATTCTACATATGCAATGAAAGTGTTGAAATAAAAGCATAAGAGGAGATACAATAAATTACTAAAAGTATTAGACACATATATGGTATGATATGCACTGTAAATGATGTTTAATATAAAGGCAAGATAAAACACGGTTATTACTATGGATATATTTAACTCTTTAAGTATAAAGAGAGAGAAAGGTGATGGGACATGTAATTTTTTAATTTGTTTTCATATGTATAATATTTTGGAATGGATTATACATATATATATATTACTTCTAATTAAAGATAGTAAGCACTAAAAGGATTAAAGTGACACTAAAATATATAACACAAATAATCTCTCACTAGTAAGGAAAGTATAGTAAGAAAGGGAATAATTGTAAAATGTCCCAAGTGTGAAATCTCTGTATAATCGGATATGATAGGAAAATCGAAAGTGTGGGAATTTGTATATGAGATGGAAATGTTTTGCTAAATCGATTTATATGTATATGTATATAAATATATATATATATATATATATATATATATATTTTAATTTATTTATTTTTATCCTTTCCTCTCAAATCTTTCTTCTCTTCTCTCTAGGCCCCATGTTTATTCTATGGGCATTAACGCTCTATACGCAATATAATTATACTTATCAATGCGGATCAGTTCTCCTCTTTATGTTTCTATATGTATGACACACATCATGCAAAGTAAGAATCTGGAAAGAATTCTAACAGATTCTTTGTTAACAAGAACACAGCAAGAGGTCCTAACAGGCCATCACTCTAATAAAATTATAGATAACTTTGTATGTATTTTATGATGTTGGTGTAGCAACGGAGAGTGGAATTTAAATAGGGGGGAATTTGGTTAAATTAAAATCTGTAAACGTGCAGGGTCTTAACTCCCCTATTAAGAGATCAATGGTGTTAAATCACATGAGAAGAGCACAAGCAGATTTATGTTTTCTCCAGGAGACCCACTGGAGATTGATAGATAAACGTCAATGGAATCCAACGGGATTTCCTTTAGTAGTCCATTCCTCAAGAACAGGTAATAAAAAGAAAAGTGGAGTAGTCATCTTATTCTCTAACACTCTCCAAGTAGAGACTCTATATAAATTTTTAGATAAAGAAGGATGTTATATGATATTGGTTTCTAAAACAAATAACATCAAGTATACCTTGGTGAACCTATATCTCCCAAACGTAGCCCCTATAACTCTACTAAAGAAAATCCTAGAAATAGTAAATGAAGTAATGGAGGGTATTCTTGTGATAGCTGGGGATTACAATTCAATTTTAGATCCAACTCAGGATAAAAAAAAAATTCCAGCAGGGGCCATTATTAGTAAATATGTATTAAAACAAGCAAAATCTCTAACAAATACCCTTAAAGGATCACTATAGGGTCAGGAACACAAACATGTATTCCTGACCCTATAGTGTTAAAACCACCATCTAGCCCCCCCTGGACCCCTCATGCCTCCATAAATATAGAAAAATCTTACTTTATTCAAGTCTGAATCTGTAACTCTGCATGCTGTTTGCCTCAGAAAAACAAGCAGTGTGTTGACATTATCAGAAGTGGTTTCCTGATCCAATCACAGTGCTTCTCCATAGGATTAGCTGAGACTGTCAAGGAGGCAGATCAGCGGCAGAGT